CGCGGCACGGGCTAGATAGTTCGAACTACGTAGTTATTCCGAACTATCTGTACGCCGCGCGGCACGGGGTTCGAACAAGCCGGCATTTAAAAATGGCGCCGGCCGGCTTATGCAAATGAAGCCCGGGAAATTCAAATCCCGGGCTTCATTTGCACGTTCGGTATGCATACATTACCCCGCTAGTTCAAACTAGCGGGGTAGTGTAGACATACCCTTAGTGATTAACTATTGGAACAAATTTCTCAGGAAAAAAGGGGCAGATTCTCCACTGCTTCCTCTCCTCCAATTCAGACTGGACGATTCACACAATCCAGCACAAGTTAGTGGGGTCAGTACATAGGGACCTGGGTGAAATTCCTCAGCATTTGCAATCTGATCTGTGGGATACTGAGAGAGAAAGCAGAAGGCTACAGCATGATACCTTCGAAGTCCTCATGCAATCTTCCCTCACTGTATCGACTGATGAACCCAAATCTCATCACTCTCTCCTGAAGAAAGGGAAGAAAAAGGAGACATTGTTAACTGAGGCTGTGTCTACACTACAAAGAAAAGTCGAAAAAAGATACGCAAATTGCAAGCCGCAATTTGCGTTTTTTTCCTCTTTTCTTCTGAAAGAGGCTTTTTGGCCCATCTATACAAGGCCAAATGTTGGAACACCCCTTCTTCCTTGTAGAACGAGGTTTACAGGGATGCTGAAAAAAGTGTCTGCTTTTCTGATTTTTTTTTCCAAAAAAGCAGACATGTTCTTTGGATGTGGCAGAGCTTTTCTGGGATATCAGAGGGATCCCAGAAAAGCTCTGCAGTCTAGACGTACCCACAGATGGTGGTCTGCTGAAATCCTGGGAGAGGGAGGTGGAGTCCATTGAGTGACTGCCCCCTTTGGATGAGGAAGAAGCCAAACAATCAGCATTTAATGAAGGTCTAGGCAAAGGTTCAATATGTGGGACAGCAAGCAAAGAACCTTAGATGAGACCCACTACTCTGAGATATGTAGATGTTCAATGGACAAAGACCAGAAGAGATCACTAGGGAATTCCGAATAAGGTACTCTTCTTCCAGAACAAAAGTGTCTACACAGGGAGTTAATCGGGTACAGTGAATCAGGAATAACACCTTGGCTGTGTCTACATTGGCACCCATTTCCGGAAAAGGGATGCTAATGGGGGGGCTTAAATATCCCCCGCAGCATTTGCATGAACATGCCTGCCGCTTTTTTCCGGCTCGGGGCTTTGCCAGAGAAAAGCACCAGTCTAGACGGGATCTTTCGGAAAATAAAGCCTTTTCCAGAAGATTCCTTATTCCTCTTTAAATCCCCCGCGGCATTTGCAATTCTGAAGTGTCTCATTAGCATCTCTTTTCCGGAAAAGGGTGCCAATGTAGACACAGCCCTGGTGTAGAAACGCCTGTATCTCCTCACCTCAAAGCATATAAACCATTGTATGATTAACCTTCACGATACTCCCCTGAGGGAAGTAAGGAAACTAAACCACTGGATGCTTCCCCAAGGTCACAAAAAGAGGAATAATCAGGAATACTGACTTTCAGTCTCTCCTTTTTCTAACCCCTAAAGCCCACGCCTCAACCAGAGCAAAAGACTGAACTCCGGAATCCTGGCTTCCAGCCCCACCATGTTCTAACACACTAACCCCCACCTCCATCCCAGAGTTGAGGATAAAACCTAGGAATCCCAGTTCACAGTTCCCCCTCCCACACTCTAACACACCAGACTCCACTCACATCCCAGAGCTGAGGAGAGAACTCAGGAGTCTTTATTTCAAACCCTCATTCACTCAGGCTTTAGTTGGTATCCCAGCCAACTCATGTCAGGCCTGGCCAAAGTGTTTGTGTGGCCCCAGGTGGCATGTTGTGGTTGGCTGCACCACATAGCTGGGCGGCTCCCAACCAAGGCAGTGAGCAAGCAATCGGGTGGCGGGCCTGCGGGGCCCAAGCCAACCGCCTTGCTCTCTTTACCCTAAGGCCTGGCCTGACTAAAATTACTGGCATCACAGAAGATGGGTTATAGGTTTGTGTGCATTCAGGGGGTGAGTTAACAGTTGAATACAAGTTAACCGCACAGTGAAGATGATCCCTATTTAATCCCAGAAAAGGCAAGCTAGCATTTCCTCCCACCTCTCCCTGTGCCAGCGGGATGCACAGGGAAATCTGCAGAGGCTCAGGCCTCCCCTCAGTAGCATGACAGAGGTTCATACCTGAATGCTGATTTGCTCAGCTTCCTTTGCCATTTTCACAGCACTGTCCAGTTTCTGGCAGTAATCTTTGTTCCTGAGTTTCTTCTGAAAGAGTGAGAGAATTGGTCTTTATGGTGCCTAAAATGCATCAAAACTTTATCTCTTCCCCCCAAACCAGTGACAAGAAACACACTCTGTGAAGGACCAGAGCAGAAATCTTTCTGGTACCAGCGGCTCCTTTCCACAGGAATAATTCACACTGGGGAGAGGAGCAGTAGCAGATATTCATTCAGTGCCTAGTGCAATGGGGTCCTGGTCTCTCTCCCATGCTGGGAGATTGGGGGACCCTAGATGATGGGGCAAGAGACATAAAGCCTCTAGCATAGTGGTAGACGGGGGAACCCTGGTATGGGAGATGGAGCACACTCAGAACCCCTGGTGGGGTGGAAAATGGAAATTGGGGTATGTCTACACTACCACCCTAGTTCGAACTAGGGTGGTTAATGTAGGCAACCGGAGTTGCAAATGAAGCCCGGGATTTGAATTTCCCGGGCTTCATTTGCATATTGCCGGGTGCCGCCATTTTTAAATGTCCGCTAGTTCGGACTCCGTGCCTGTGGCTACACGCGGCACAAACTAGATAGTTCGGATTAGGCTTCCTATTCCGAACTACCGTTACTCCTCATGGAACGAGGTGTACCGGTAGTTCAGAATAGGAAGCCTAATCCGAACTACCTAGTTCGTGCCGCGTGTAGCTGCGGGCACGGAGTCCGAACTAGCGGACATTTAAAAATGGCGGCGCCCGGCAATATGCAAATGAAGCCCGGGAAATTCAAATCCCGGGCTTCATTTGCAACTCCGGTTGCCTATATTAACCACCCTAGTTCGAACTAGGGTGGTAGTGTAGACATACCCTTGGAGAGGAGGTACAGAAAGCACATTTAGCCACAGGCATGAGGGGAGAATGGGAAACCCTGGTATGAGAGAAAAGAGGAACAGGGAGCATACATGAGGAGATATGGTGGTATGAGGGCAAGGAGTCCCTGAAATAAAGACAGATGGCAGGGTGGCACACTGAGAACCCTTGAGGAATCTTTTCATGATTGGGTGTGCAAAAATTGATGAGTCATCTAGCTTTAGATGAAAGGTAGAACAACGAGATGTATCTTCACAGAGCTGATGGCAAGGCTTGTCATTGATGATGAAACACAAGGAATGAAAGAGGTCCTTGGTGGTAGATGTCGTGTTGAGAGTTTCCACACTCTCTCATTTATAAGACAATCATTGAAATAAGGAAAAATTATCACTTCTTGTTGTCGAAGGTATATGGCAACTATTGAAAAATACCCTAGGGGCTGAGGGGAAGCCTAATGGTAAAACTCTGAGGGTATGTCTACACTACAGCAGTAATTCGAACTAACTTAATTCGAATTAGTTAATTCGAACTAGTGCATCTAGACCTAAAAACTAGTTCGAATTAGCATTTTGCTCATTCGAACTAGCATGTCCACATTGAGTGGACCCTGAACCGGGGTTAAGGATGTCCAGAAGCAGTGCCGGCAGGGCAGCAGATTAGGACTTAGAGTGTGGAGCTGCTGCCTCAGGCTAGCCGAGGGCTGTGCTTAAAGGGACCAGACCCCCACCCCGGACAGACAGTTCTCAGGGGTTCCCCGCTCGCTTGTCTAACTTGATGAGGGACAGCAAAGCAGTCCTGGCTTGGAGTGCCCTGAGTGCCCACACTCAGCACATCACAGCACTCGGCCATCAGCCCGGCTGCACTTGCCGCAGGCTGCCATCCGGGGAGAGGGGGGGGTCAATCGAGGGGCTGCAGGAGAGTTTCCACCCCGAGGAGCCCGCAGAGCCATCCCAGTCCTCCCCATCGGGGGCTCGTACCCCATTCCTCCCTCACCTTTTTCCACTTACCCCTCCCTAGCCCACATGCACTCGATGAGGGCGTGCCGGCACCGGGAAGACCGGTCCCGGTCCTGGTGCCGGTGCCTGGTGCAGTGCCAGGTGCAGCACCAGGAGAACAGGTCCCAGTGCTGTGAGTGGAGCCGGCTGCGGCACCAGGAAAACCGGTCCTGGTGCCTGAAGTGGAGTTGATGCCGAGAGGACAGATCCCGGTGCCTGGGGTGGAGCCGGTTGCGGCACCGGGAGGAACGGTCCGGTGCCGACACAGAGCATGACTGCGCTGCTGAAGTCGGTATCGGTTGTGAGACGAACCCCGAAGAAGCCGCTGTCACCGGTGATGGCGGCACCAGCATGGCCCACGGGGTCGATGCCGGTGCCAGTGATGGTGCCAAAACGTGCATCGGTGCTGAAGAGGCTGATGCTGAAGGGCCCAGTGCCGATGACTGGAATGGCACCCCGGGAAAGCTGCTCAGCGCCGGTATCAAAGATGATGATGGTGCCATAGACGTCGCCACAAGGCCAGGGTGATACGGCACTGATGCAGCCAAAACGGGGTCTGGAAGGGGTCCCAGCACCGAAGGAGGTCGAGCCCAGTCGAGTGCCAAGTGAAGCCTGGCTGCCTGCGTTGAGGCTGGCACCGATGTGGAGGCAAGCAGTACTGGTCCCACAGGGGACAGTCCTGCTACATAAGCAACCGGTGCCGTCCAGTCATGCCGGTGCGGAGGCAAAGCTGGTGCCAACACAGCCTCCGGCATAGGCAACCTCGACCCCTCTGCCTCAACCAACAAGCTAATTCAAACTAACGCATCTAGAACTCAAAACTAGTTCGAATTAGCATTTTGCTAATTCGAACTAGCAAGTCCACATTGAGTGGACCCTGAACAGGGCTTAAGGATGGCCGGAAGCAGTGCCGGCAGGGCATCAGAGGAGGACTTAGAGCGTGGAGATGCTGTCTCAGGCTAGCCGAGGGCTGCGCTTAAAGGGACAAGCTAATTCAAACTAACGCATCTAGAACTCAAAACTAGTTCGAATTAGCATTTTGCTAATTCGAACTAGCAAGTCCACATTGAGTGGACCCTGAACAGGGCTTAAGGATGGCCGGAAGCAGTGCCGGCAGGGCATCAGAGGAGGACTTAGAGCGTGGAGATGCTGTCTCAGGCTAGCCGAGGGCTGCGCTTAAAGGGACCCGACCCCCACCCCAGACAGACAGTTCTAAGGGGT